TATAATATTCACAATATGACGCAATTACACTATCTTATTCCATTTCTGTTAATGACGAATAATATTGCCCGAAAATGATTGTTTCTTTCTTTAATGACAGTCATGTCATCAAGTATTCCCACTGGCCAATTTTCTGTAAAATGTAGTACCGCGTAGTAACAGCCTCGTGAACAAAACAATTGAAAAACGACAAAACAGATCTGGACTTAATTCGCTGTTGTACGGAACACTGGCTACATTGTGCGGGCAACCACGCCAGAGACGGAGAGAGAACAGAAGAAAGATATATATATATATATATATATATATATATATATAAACTAATCTAAATTAGTTGGTTTTTTGGTATGTTCGTTTGAGAAAGGGACAGGGGAACAGTGAACTACAGAAACAGAAACAGAAACCATTGTTTCTGGCTTTAATAGCCTCACAAATGTTTCCAGATAAGATCCTGGAATAATACAAAGCCAAGAGAATGTATTTTAGTTAACGCCGGCACAAACGAGACAGATATACCTACAAGAAAGCCTGATATGGTCTCCAAGTTTCAGTTCTTTGTTCTTAATCATTCTGAAAGTAACCATCTCCCATTGAATTTCATATGTCGGCGACTTCCAAATACTGTTCTTTCGTAAAGAAGCATTTTCGCGCCATTTAAATGTTATCCGATCTGTAGTTCAAGAAATTACAGACAGGGGCACACATGCCCACGCTTTCTGATTATAACAGGGTCCAACGTTATTAAATATACAATACTACTCCGAAGATAACTGTATTCTGGTTGTTTATCCGGGTAGCCTGGTAGAAATTTACAGACGTTTTAGAAGTGCTTACTACGGCGACCACTAAGTACCGCAAACACTTAACCATTATAAAGATCAACTGGTTAATACTGGTACAGGAAATAATCGCTGTTTCCACTGAGAATCATACGAATTACGAGTCACATTATCATACGAAACACATAAATACAATTCGCCCTGATGACGGAGGCAGTATGACCTCTGAAACGTTGGTTAACATCGACCAGACTACACAGCGCAACAACCCAGAAGACAGAAATCTTCCTTCACATAAATACAAATTGCAGAGTTACTGACTGCTACATCACGTTTCTTATAGTTATCACTCGGTTTTAAATGTTGTATTTGGGGGGGGGGGGGGCCTACACC